ACCCACAGGTTTTCGGGCATTGTCGTCGGTCCTCGGCGGTTTTCCAGCCTCGGGGTGCGTTCCAGCGGCTGCGCCTCGCCGAGGGCGTTCTGGGGGTGCCCCGGCCGCCAGATAGACGAGTGCATATGCCCCGAAAACTCCATGGGGGTTCGGCCGGCCCTCCTGTGAGGCCTCTCGGGCCGTCTTGGGGCCCTCGTTGGAACACGTGGGCAAGATTTCGGGTGTTGCTAGAAGTGCCCTTGGCCCAAGGTGCCCCCAGGATTTCCGCGGAGGCCCCCATGGCTGGCCTCCAGGGCCCCCTTCAAAATATCCAAACGGCCCCAGGGGCTCCATATAGGACCACGCCAGAACGAGGATAATTCCAGGTGAAGACACATCGAGAATCTCTGAGATCCGGCGGCTCTGGAGGATGTCTCGGGCGCCGCGACCCTCTCCGAGCGTCCCAGAACGATCTGAAAGCGTTTCGGAACGCTCTGGAACTTATCCTCGTCCTAGCCCCGAACCCCATCCAGTTGGGACTGTCTTGGGCTGCTGAAAATCACAAAAATGCTTTCTGCAACTCAATGAAAAACATTGGCCGTCTCGGAAACCATCTTGGCCGTCTTTGAAGCGTCTTTGGACCGTCTTGGAGGCCATCTGGAGACATCCTGGCCGTCTAGGGATCGCTCCTGAAGCCACCTTGGACGGACAAAAACACCGGTTTTCGCTTTTGCGTGACCTCCTGCGGGGCAAGCGGGATGGGCCGGAGGTCACCGGGCACATTTCGGCAAGGCCGAAAAGTGCTCAAAGGTCTCACGCCAAACACCCGTTACTCCTGTTCTTGCTCCTATTCCTGCTCCTCCTCTTCCCACTCCCCCTACCAATCGCGCCCCCCCCTCGCCTCGCCTTGCTCCGCGGCGCTAGAGGCACTTGATGATCATCGCCTTCAGATCCTTCGAGAAGGCCTTCACCTGGCGGACCCGGCGGAGCAAGAGGAATCCATGCCGAGTTCGAAACATATGAATAAAAACTAACCGCAGACGGTGCGTCGCCCCCGCGACTGCCCCAGCGTTCCCCTAAAGCCTCTGGGGCTCTTCGGTTGTCCACCGACAAGAAAAAGAGGCAGAAATAGCCAACACACAAAACCTCAAACACTACATACGTGTCGTATAACACATTTACATATACATATATATATATATATATATATATATATATGCATATATACATATATATACATATATATATACATATATATATATATGTGTGTGTGTGAATGTGGCGAAACTCCTCCTCGCCGCCATGGGTACCAACCGTTTCCTGTATGCCTCTATCACCCTCCACTCCCATCTTGTTTTTCTAAATGAATGAACTGAAACTGCCGAAAAATCGTGCGTAGTCCAGCCGCATATGCATGTAAAATCATCATTTCGCAACGGCGACTGAATGAACATTCTGGATTTGGGAAAAGGGGATTGATTTCACAAGTCGTCGGCTCACGCGCGGTGGAGGTAATTTTCCTTTGCAACGAAACGCACCAGCGCATGTATCGCGGCGCCCAAGCCAAAGCTTACAGGCGTTCCCGGAGATGCTGTCTCCCCCAACGGCGGAAGAGCGGGGCCAAAGACAGGCCATGGAGAGAAAGAGAGAAGCGAAGCAACGAGTGAGAGACGAGCAAATGGAAACTCATGGGACGCTAGTGAGGAGTGCGATAACCCATGCAGTATTTCAGTGCGGAGTATCTGATCTGACGGGCGCGTGAAACTTGAGGGCCGGCGAAGCGAAAAACATGCAAATTGCAAAGATCACTGCGTGAGTCCTGGACCTCACTTTTCTGAACCATTTTTCTGGCTGGATTGATTTGTGATGGTCCAGGGGCCCCAAGCCAGTCTGCCCATCGCCCCGCCGCCCGCCGCCCTCGAATCCCATGGTTACCCCCAGGCGGCCCACAAGGTCAACCGCCTCCAGCGTGCGCCCAGCTGGAGGCGAGCCGCGAGCGGCCACGAACCTCGAAGTCCTCCAGCATCTGCAGGCGTCGCAGGCTGGAAGCGCCCGCGCACTTTGCCAGCTTCTGGCAGTAGTTCAGCCGGGCCTGGCGCGCGAAGTCGGGATGGCGCACCTGCGCGTCAGTGAGTGGGCCGGCGTCCGCCTGGAGTGGCCGGGGCAACCAGCGCGAGAACAGCGCCGCCCTTGGCGGACACCTGGGGCTTCCACGCCAGTGCAATAGCCCGGATGTCGCGGCCCAGCTGCTCGGCCGCGCGCCGTTTGCAAGAGCTCCGATCTAATCGGGGACGCGAATGCGCGGGTGCAAGCGTCGTCTCCGCCTGGTGCATCTCCTGCAGCCCGAGCGGCCGCCCCAGCACTGCATGGGATTTCTTTCCTCGCACACATCTCGACTGTCATTGGCCTCTGCCCCGCCGCAGGAGCGCCGGCCCGAGGGCTCCGCGACCCAGTTCGCGTCGCCGCCGAGGACGGCCCACGCCCAGCCGGCACTGGCAGCGCGGCGGGCCAGCCGATCCCGAAGCACCGCCCGAGGGCTGGGAAGCAGGAGCCGCTGGAACGCTGCGCGCCGGGGACTCCGGACAGGCCCGCCCCCGCCACCGCCGCGCCCGAGTGGAAGCAGCGCGCGACGAGATCGAGCGCGCCCCCCTCGACCCCGCAATCGAAGCGGCCCGGCGCGCACAGGCCGCGGGGTCTGCCGGGGAACCCCCTCGAAACGCCCCGCGCGCCCACGACGGCGACGCCGACGCCGGCCCCCCGCCAACCGCCGGGAAGAACGGCCTCGTGGAGCTCGCCAAGCTGCGCGTTGCCCAGCGCGCCCGCGGGCCCCCGAGATGAGGGCGGCGTCGCCGCGGGCTTGGAAGGGGCGGAGGCGCCGCCCCTCGGTCTCGCGGCGCGCGGGGCCCGCGGCGAGAAACGCCTGAGCGCGCCGAGCCACCGCTGCCAATTTCCCCCGATTGCGCCCAGGGCGCGAAGCTGCAAAGCCGCCGGCGCCGCGGGGTTCGCCCCGGCAGGAAGTCGCGCACTCCGGCGGGGAGGAGGGCCGAGAGCACGGAGAAGCCGTCGGCGTCGGTAGATATGAACAGGCATGTCGTCGAAGCGCGTCGCGCTGGCGGCCGCGGAGGGCGCGCCCGTTGCCCCGCGCGCGAAAAGTGGGCAAGTCTGGCGGCGGCCGCAGGTCGAACGAGGGCGAAGGCCCAGGCCAAGTGACACTCCAGATCGCAGACGAACCCACTTACGGTGGAAAGAGAAAAGAGAAGCTCGTCGAATCCAAACAAAGTACTTGCTGTCGCGAACTCCTGGGGGCCCGTCTCGCACCGGCCCAGCCCCGCGCGCGCGCGCTCGGCGTCGCTGGCCTCAGCGCCCTCCCGCCCTACCCCCAGTTCCCCTGCGATCAGAACGGCGGCGTCGAGCGGGGCGCGGGCCGCGACGGCGACTGGCTGCCAGAGCCTGCGGGGTCGCCGTTGGGGCGGCGATTGCGCGCCCTCCATCGCGGGGGGCCTTCCAGCACGACTCGAAGGCCACCTCCGCGGCGTCGTCGCAGGGGGCGCCGCCCATGGCACTCGCCTAACGCGCGGGCCCCGCGTCGGCGAGGGCCAGCAGGCGGGCCCGCGGAAGAGCCAGGGGCCGCGCGCACAGCGGCCAGGAACGCGCGATGTTGAGTTGGATCTTCGAGTCGGGCCTCCCCCCAGGGTCTGGGGTTGATGGGGTTCTGATGGCAGAACGGCCATCAGGTTTCGATGGGGCGATTTCGTAGCCTGGGGTAAATGAGAATTCGTTGATGGACAACTTTCTGGCGACCCACGGTGCGAGAAACCAGCCATGAGGTTTTGATGCGGCGATGTTGCATCTTTCGTTTAATCAGAACCTATCGATGAGCGGCTTTGCTGCAGCCAGTGGTCCTTGGAAACAGCCACGATTTTTCGTATTGCCCTGCTTTAGCGGGGAGCGGGGATGGCTACATCGCGGCGATCACAGGGCAGCGCGCCCACCGCGCGGGCTCCTCCCTGAATGATAACTGCGATCGGAAGTAATAGAACGCATTGTGAGAGGGGTGGGGTTGTGATGGACTTGTTTAAGAGGGCGGCTCAAACAAAACGCTCTGGTCAAGGCTCGGGATGGGGCCGTCGCTTCAGGTATGCGCCCGAGCATGAGCACATACTGCCGCGCGACTACCGAGGATACCAACTTACGTCCCACAGCCCATCTGGGCGATTTTCGATCTAGGGCGCGTGGACCCCTGCCAGGGGGGCCCAAACAAACCATCATCCCGCGCGCGCTGGGGGGTGGACATCATTGAACATATGCTCGTGAGGTTCCTGAGCAATTCGAGGGGCGAGGCCGCAGATTTGGGCTGCGGGCAATGATGAAAGCGCCCTCAGGGGTTGGTGGAACAGCAAATTCTGGTTTTGATTGGCGTCACGGCCGCCACAGCGGAAGGGCGCTCGGCCGAGATCACAGAATGCCTCATTAAGTGATCCACGCACCGACCTACTCTAACATTCCTACTGGGCGATGCCCGCTCTAGAGCTTACGGGTCCCAACTGCAAGGCTCTAGGCGGCATACGTTCCGCGGGAGTTCAGGGGAGACCTCGTCGAACCCCAAGGGGGCCCAAGACACCCCCATAAGCCACAAAGAGGACCCTAGGAGACCCTCAAGAAGACTCTGAGAGGTATCCCAAGAGCCCCTTCATATGAATCCCAAGGTGCCCTGAACAACTAGATAACTGCCACGATAATCGCAACTTCTGACTCGTTCTCGGGGCTGGCGGATTGGCCCAAGCCTCTTGAGTAAATCTGGCAGGAGGGTGCATGGGGGAGGAGGGGGGGGGTGATGATGGAACGGTCGTTGTTTACCATGGGCCACGGTGCTGCTGCTGTGGCCGAGAAGGTAAGTAAAAAAACTCGCTCTCTCGCAGCCGTCGTCGCGGCCGTTGTCGTCCTCGTAATAGTCGACGTCGAAGTACGAGTACCTGTACTTCGTCACGGCCGCCGCGCGCCGAGTGCTTCTCTCAAGAGACCGTTCCCGAGTTCAGCGCCTTGGCAAGCTCGTCCGACACCTTGTCGAGGATCGGCTTGGCGACGTCGTCCTCGCAGAAGACCCGCGAGTCGTGAACTGTGTCCCGCAAGGTTGTGAGAACCTCTGCCGCGGTGTCGGGCGTGAGCTTCGTCAAGCTCTGCAGGGCCCTTGCCTCCCACAAAGTGGCCTGCGCGCGCCGCTGGCCTTTCTTGAACTCGCCCTCGAGCTTCGCGAGCTCGCTCGTCTTGTCGTGAAGCGAGGCGTCATCTGCGAACGAGCTGAGCTGCTGGGAGATGGATGGCCTCGATATGCTTCAGCTTCGTCGTGATGCCCTTCTGCTTGCACAAGACGCGCTTGTAGCAGTCCTGGAGGCAGTCGAAGTCGTTGGGGTCCGCCGCGCTCGTGGACCAGTGCTGACCTGAAAGGTCCAGGAGGCCGCCTGCCATGCCGATGAACTCCTTGATCTTCGCCACCGACTCGCACGCCAGGTTGTCCCAGTAGGTGGAGGAGAAGTCTACGAGCTTGGCGGCAGTGTCGCCATACACTGCGCTGAACTGTCTCTCGTAAGCCTCGAACTCGGGATTGATCACGTAACCTTCCATGGCGGGCGACTTGTCCTGGCCATCGCTTGGCGCGCCCTCAGATCCGTTGGCGGTGGCCTCCGCCTCGCTCTTCTTCCAAACCGCCTCTTTGAACCTGACAGCGGTCGCGCGCAGCTCCTGCCATGCCTGAGGAGCGCCGCGACAAAGCACTCGCAATGCCGTCTGCGCCGAACGGATTCCCAAGCCCCTTTCTCGACCCTCCAATCGCATCCTCCATCACCGCCCCCTTCCAACATCACCCCTCCGCCCGCCCCCCACATCCCCGCCCGCCCCCCTTCATGAAAGGGGCGCCCAGGAAAACGCGCAGCTTAAGTTGGCGTTGCAAGCCCAATCGCTGCCTCCGAAACCTCAGCTGCACACTCGTCAACCAGATCCCCGTTCTTCTGGTCGAACGTGCTCCGAGCCTTCAGCAGCTTCGCGAACTGGAACAGGGCGTCGATGCGAACCTTAGCTGCCGCAAGGGAAGTGATCGTGCCCCCGCTCGCCTCGATGTTGTCCGTCGCGAGCGCCCAAGCAACGCCGAGGAGCTTCAACATCTCATCGGAGACGAGGTCAACCGCGCATGCGATGCTGAGGGTGTCGGCGGACAAGGCTGCGGAGCGCGACAAGCAAATCTCGATGCACGCCATCATGCTCGCAACCGTGCTGGCCCTCGCGAACTTCATCCCAACGCACTGCTGGCGAGCCGCGCGCACGGCCGATATCGATTCCTCGTTCTCAGGGGCCAATGCGCGGCACGCGGTGGCAAGTGCATCCTCCTGGGCCGCAGACGCAACGGACCCCGAATACCTGCGGAGCTCAGCCGCCAACTCTCGATGCTGTTTGAGGTGGGCCGAGGACACCCCCCTGAAGTCGACAGCCTTGCCGATGAACTCCTGGAACCTCGACTCCATTGACCTCAACGCGTCGGGGGCGGGCTGGTCGGCGTAGGACGATGAGTCAGACGATGATAGCTTCTTGACCCAGCTCTCGAGCGACTCGGACATCGCTTTCAACAAGGCGTTGGCCCCACCCGTGCGTAACTGGTTGCCCCACTCGCCCAAGCCGTCGAATACGACCACGAAGTTGTCAATCGTGATGTCGCTCCTGCCCAACAGCTCGGTGAACTCCTTGACCGCCTTGCCGTGCTTGATGTCGCTGTGGCACGCCCTGCTGTACTCGGCGAGGCAGCCCTTCAGGCCCGTGCCGAACGTGAAAACGACATTCCTCCAGTCCTCCTCGCCCCCCTCCTCACGAAGGAAAGCACGGGCCTCCACCCTGCAGGGGCAATCCATGATGGAGGAAGGAGACGCATCCAACAATACCTTCAAGCTCTCCGAGAAGACGTAGAGCTCCTGAGCCACCGCTTTTAGCTCAACGGGAACTGCGTCGCGTAGCTTATCAGATCCAACATGCTCGCTGAAAGCATCGCACATCTCCAATACCTCATCGACGTCGGCCTCGCGCTTGGTGGTCAGAGGAAGCACGATTTTGTTGATGATGAACTCCCTGCTCACCTTGGCGGCCTTGTCGGGCTGGATCCCGACGAGTGCGAAGGTGGGCTCCTTGACCAAAAACTGCTCCTCGAATGAAACGTCTGTCACCGACCATGGGATGCAGATGTTTACCTTGTCCGTTATCGACGTCGCCTCCCTGACAGCCGCCGCGACTAACTTCATCTTAAAATTGAGGGCGCCGTCAATATTGCGGTGCTTCAGTTGATCCAGCAAATTGAGCCTGATCTCCCTGCTCATGGTGTCGACCGCGTCCCCTCCGAGGGTGGTGCATGTCTCGATCAGACCCGTCAACCTCGTCTTTGATGCCTGCACGTTTGAATTGTTCCCCGGGTTGAACCTGGCGAGGGCGTAGATCTTGTCCCCAATCCCGTGATGCTGCCCCTTGTTCAAGATGCGGCAGATGTCGATGTTGGCCTCGAGCTCCTTGAAGCGGGCCTTGTCGGGGTCGTCCAAGCCGACGTCCATCGAGCTCTTGCCGCGCCTCAGAGGCATGGTGGCCGCGCTGACAACAGACTTCTCATCGGCAAGATCGTCGTGTACAGCGCCCGCTGCATCATGAGCTCGTGCTGGCATCGGAATGGCGGGAGAAGCAAACGGCGCCCCTGAGGCCGACTCGCCATCCAGGCCAGAAGCAGCGGCTGGCGAAGACGCGATGTCGCAGATGGCTCTCGGGCCAAGGCCCTGACCAGAGAGTGGCGTCTCAGCCCCAAGATCGCCATCACCTGGCCTGTGGGGGGTCGACGGCCCACGAGCCAACAATCCCTTGGCCCTCGCTGCCCCGATGGCGCGCTTCCTGACCTCCGCAATGGTGGGGGCGGCAACGTGTCCACGTAAGGCAGTCGGCAACAACTCCCTGGTATACTTATCAATCGCATCAGCCATGCCCGAGGCTTGCTGGTCGCGGCAGAACTCCGACGCCTGCAGCGCCCACTCCGAATGAGACCCGTACGTGCTGGACCACTTGCGAACCTTAACGTACGGCTGCGACGGGTCCGCCACCAACACGCCTGACAACTTCTCCGAGCGGTGCTCGTTCTTCAGCTCGGTGATGCGCTCGCCAGCGTCCGACGGAACCAGTTGGTCTGCGCCTTCGGGTGCGATATCCTTCTTGTACTGCTGCTCAGTGATCAACACGCAGTCCGAGTACACCGTGAAGCCCGTGTCATGCTTCAAGCTCACGTCGTGAGGGCCAGCGGAGGCAAAGGCCTTGCCATCTGAGATCTCGCACGTTGCTTCGAATGCCTCGGCGAGCTGATCGTCTTCGTTTGCCTGTGCGCACATCTGCGTCCACTGGTGATCCAGATGCCACTGGCCCCTGCAATACCCGCGGAAATGGTAGCTGCACCCGTGCATGAACTTAGCAATCGGTTCCCCAGGCATCTTAACATCTGGAAACGCATTCTCCTCGTCCTCGACGCAGGCGCAGTAGCCGCACATGCCGAGCTTCGATTTGTCGATCGGCGTGGAGCTCACGTAGCGGATGAGCAGCGGGCCGACGAACGGCTTCGATGATGTCCCACTCGACGCTGCCGCGCCCTTCCTCTTCCTCTGCCGACAACCGCTGGGCCCGCCTCTCACAGCGCCTGTTCCTCCGCGGGCCCTCTTCGCCCCGCCTCTGCCTCTGCCTCTGAGGCTGCCCGCAGCACCATCCGCACCGAAACCGTCAGCTACGCTAGCCGCAGCGGCATCATCCTGTCGGCGTTTCCCCATCGCCGCGGTTGCGCAGACTGGCGAGCGAGCCTCGTGACACGGATGCTGCAGCCCGTGTACCACCCGCGATGGGTGGATGCGACTTTGAGCCAAAATGGCTACGAGGTGCGAGAGGAGTTGAGAGGGGGAGTCAGAGGTTCCACGCCCTTGGTTGGCACGCCGCCCATCGACTGACAATGCCTAGCCCCTGGTAGGCAGCGCGCATGGGCGACGCTCAAGCCTCATGCCACAACGTGCCCGTGACTCCAAAGGCCTGGGCGACGCATTGCCGCCCATTCGGAACAACCCTTGCCACAGGCAGAATGCTGCTGCTAGTCCTTATCGTTCCTGGACAGCCGCGAGTCCTGGCGTTCCCCATTGGCCCCCGAAACACTTGCCCGACGAGGGCTCATGAGAGTTCCTGGAGCCGCCCTCAAAGTTCCAAGGACGCTCTTGAATGCCGTTGGATGACCCCGAACGATCCCAAGAGAGCCCCTAGAGTCCCTGGAAAGCACCGCGGGGCTTCAAGGCAGGCCTCATGGCTTCAAGATGGCCCCGTGCAACACCTCAGGAGGATCCCCAGCTGTCTCAGGACGGCCTCATTAGGATTCTCCAGGTGGCCCTTCAATGGTGTCGAGAGGCCCCCCATCAAGAGTCTCAGGAGGGCCCGCAAGGGCTTCAAGAAAGCCCCGCATTGCCTCAGGAGGGCAACCACCAAATCCCAGGATGGCGCTAGGGTATCAGACAGACGAGCTTTGTGGATTTGCATGGGGGATCACGCGCGGGGCAGCGACTGAGATTGCCACGATGATAGCAACGAGGATTGGGAGGATGAGGGCGTTTCCAGACGCGAGGGCGGGCGATGGCGATTACAAGAGAAGATGTGGACAAAATATGGCGTTTCTGACGATGAAGGTTGCGAGGATGAGCAACATTGCGAAGCCTAACCTGGTGTCGATGAGGGTGATGCTAACGAGGGCGAGGGAGCGAGCATGTGCTCAGACGGATGGCTTAGACTGATGGCGACACGGGCGGCAAGTATAATCACTAATGATATGGCGATGACGGTGACGGAACAATCGCCCTTGTGGACCATGAGAGCGAGGTGGGCCATGCAAGGGCCGATCGGTCATGCTGAGGTGATTGACACGGCAAGGAGAAGCGCTGAACTGCCCTTCCCCCGAGATCAATGCGACGACGAGCAACGCAAGCGCGATGCTAGAGAGTCGGCAACGCCGCGAATGACTGGAGGAAGGGCTGAGAGAGGAGGGGAGGAGCGGAGCGAGCGAGGGTCGGGGCAGGAAGGGCAATTCGGCACGAGGTAAAGCGGACTGTGTTGTATCGAGTGGCCTCATGCACACACGCTGTGTAAGGAATCACTGAGCAACCTCAGCATGCCGATCACGCTTAAAACCAGTTGGCACTGCGATATGGAAGGTGGTGCAAGGCATGCCGTGCACTGAATGCTCGCACTGTTGATATGGAAAGCGCGCGATGGCGAGAGTGCCGTCCGCGCGCACTGGTATGTGAGCAGTGCGTCGTAGCTAATACGACCGATCCTATCCTAGCCAGCTTGTGCATCGTTGCGGCTACTACGGCTATCTAAGATGACGGCGCTGCGCCGTTGGGCAAGCCTGCGCTCGCCATGTCTTCGGGGTACGTTGGCGTACTGAGCTCATCGGGGTCTGCGGCTGGCGCTTCCGCTTCGGCCCCTGGCCCTGGTGCCCCCCCCTCCCCTGATGGGGCGGGCGCGGAGCTGCTGCTGGCGGCGTCAGAGAAACTGGCCTCGGCCTCGGGGGCGGCGTCTCCGGGTGGAACCGCTGGCTGAGCAGGCGGCGGCTGTCCCTCCATCGCACGGCCAGTGGCAGCCAGGCACTCCTCGATCTCACTAAAGGCTGCGAAGACCACCTTGACGGAGAACGGCTTCGGCTTGATCGCCTTCCACTGCCCGTGCACTCTGGCCATGCGGCCTGGTACTCCAGGTTCGGTCGTCTTCTCGAACGAGCCGATGCCAGGGAGACACACTGTCCCCTTTGCCTCCAACTCACTGAGGAAGAGCGCGGACATGGCCTGGAACATTGCCAGTACACCGACCTGCGTCGAGCCAGTTGTGGCAGCGACCTTGCGGCACAACTCTTGTGGCGCCAGGCAAGAGTGGGCCTTCATCTTCCAGACTTGCGCCTCCGACTTGCCACGGAGTCCCTTTTTCGTTTTCGGCATCTCAAGTCTGGCGGGCAGAAGAGAAGGCCGTGAGAGTCGCACCAACAAATGAAGCTTGAACCCAAGCTTGGATGGCTACGGACGAGGATTGATCCAAAGCTGGGGCCCTGGGGGCCCTAGGGGAGCCAATATCTGACGCCAGAATGCCGAGGCGAGATCACAACATAACTTGCTACGCAACTGGCAGGCGAGACCGCCATTCCAAGCCCGCAAGGGGAACGGAGCCGCCTCGGCGGGGGGCGCCGCGAAAGAAAGGGGCATGAGGGCAACCTCGACGGTAGCGATAGGCGCACTGACGCCGTCGTACATCGACACGCACTAGCATGAATGACAACGGTGGCGAACGGGATTCCCCTAACAGCGCGGCGCGTTCAAATCGAGCGTCAGGGCAAGCGCGGGCCACTGTTCCCCTGTACGGCATATGCGGCGCATACAATTTTCGGGATCCAGAATCGCTGACAGGCCCGAGGGACGAGGAATAACAAACAAACAAACTATTACATTTATGGACCAGGCAGAAGCACGCAGCCGCGGGGAGCCTCGAGACGCGCGCAGTTGACGCGAAAGAGCGCAGGCGCGCAATCCTTGGCGCGCGTTTTATGGCGCACGCAGAACGCCGCCGCGCTCGCAAGGAAATTCGAAGCACCAACGCACATATCGGGCGCAGGCGGCTGCGCCAATCACGGCGTCGAGAACGCACAGCCCTCACTCGGGCGGCACAGCGCGCGTAAAAGTGCTGATGGATGCTGGCGGCGCTGGCTCCCCAAAGCGTTGCGCGGCGGGTCCAGCATCTTGCCAGGGTGCCGACGCCCGCGGGAAGGGCAGCGCGCGGCTGGATCGGACGTAAAGCGCCAAGTGATGCGCCAAAGGGCAGAAAATCCGCGCCACGCTCGGTGGATTGGGAGCGGCGCTCGGGCACGATGCTGGCAACATCGCGCCCTAACGAAAATGCGACGGGGTCGGCTGGGCGCGGGGCGTGCGCAACGCGCGCGGAGGCCGCGCGGCGTTGCTGTGGCCGTCGGGCGGCGGGGCGCCAGCGCGCTCGAACTCGCGCGCGATGGGCGCGGCCGCGGCGCGCAACCATTGCGACCGCCAGGGTCAGCGGCGCCACACGCTCGCGGACGACGCGCCTTGGCGAACCAGCCGCGTGACCGAGCATCGGTCCTCGGCCAGAGCCGTGCCGCCGCGCATGCCGCGGGCGCAGCGGGCGCGCCCGTTCCCGCGCGTCGGGCAGCGCGGCGGCAGGTTGCGCCGCGCTGCTGGCAATCGTGCCGCAGCGTCTACTAGGCGGGGCAGGCCAAGGCACACTCGCATTGCGCCGACAATCACCGCGCCGCCCTTTCCCAGTCCTATCGCACCAACGCCCAACGCGCTCCAGGTACACCTCGCAAGGGTTAGTACTGACACTCGTCAGCCGCGGCGCGCGCGCGCGGCCGCTGGAAAAAAAGTGCTCGCTGCTGCGGCGCGGGCATAGCCCCGCATCGCGAGGCTCGCTTGCGCGCTTTGGCAGCGAAGCCCCGAGATGGGGCGACGCGCATCCGCGCCGCGACCTGGCCCCGCGTCGGACCAGCACCGCCGCGCCCGCAACCGCCCAGGGCGGCGCCGCGACTGACCTGCTGCCCCTCCCGAAGCGCCAGCCACAGCGGCGGCGGCGCGCACCATCCGCGGTGGATGGGGCGGACCAGCAGGGGGGCTGGTCGGGCCGAGGCGCGGGGAGGTTCGACCATGCGAGCGCATTTGGGGCACGGAAGATTCACGCGGCGCCGATAGCGCTGGGGCGTCGTCGCGAACTGAAGCGCAGGGCGCTGGCGGCGCTTCGCGAAGCGCGAGCCCCCGCCAAAAAAAAACTCAGCGCGCGGCCACGTTGGCGCGCTACTTGAACGAGGTGGGGCAGACCAGCGGGGCATGGCAACGGCGGCCCGCCCGATGCGCAGCCCTTAGTGGTGGCAGTCGTGGCGGGCGCTGTTTTCGGAGGGGGGGGGGGGGTACTTTGCAAAATTTCTAACGCCGCCTACCCCCCTGACCAGGGGGGGGTACTTTGCAAAATTCTGACCCCCTTGATGAAAACCCGCGCGGGTCGCCAGGGAGACGCGATGTCTTGATGGGTTTTTGATGGCGTCGCGATGGGCTTTTGATGGTGTTACGATCGGGTTTCGATGGTGTTCTGATGGGTTTCGGTTAAAGGGTGAATTTGATGATCTTTTGATGATGTTATGATGATGTTATGATCATGAAATTATGACATTTTGATCAAGCGCGCAATCGCCTTTGGTCAATCGGGATGACCTTTTGATCGGGTTTTGATCAGGTTATGATGATGTTTTGATAGGGTTTTGATCAACGGTGCAAAGCCGCGAGAAGTTACCGCTGGGGGTTATGATGACAAAGGCGGGGGCGCGACGTGCCCGTCATGGTCGGCTGGTGGCTCGTTACCTGAACTGCGCGAGCACGAACCGTCGGGCCATGACCGCGCGGCATTGCTGGGGGCGCGCAGCCAGCGGCCCGCTCGCGCGCGCGTCCCCGATCGGCCTCGGCCGACGAGCCGCGCTGCGATCGCGGGAGTCAAGCGACGGCGCGCGGCGAACCCCAGGCCGAGCGCTCGCCCTACCCTAAGGGGCAAACTCCGCGCCGCGGGCAGCGACGCATGCAGACGCGGCCGTAAGCAGCCCTGCACCCATCCCCTTGCGCCCGCGCCTCTGTCGCATCCCTGCCGAAGGAGATTGCCGAGAACTAGAAGAGGACCTCCCAGGAACTGAAAGAAGACCGCCATCACAGAAGGAAAGGACTGCCGCCTTGGGGGT